ACACCTCTTCTTGCGTCAATAAAACCTGATCAGCAACTACACCTTATGTTTCAATAACAACAGGATTGAAATTTCTATGGAGTTGGTATCAAATATGTGCTAACCATGCATTGTATGAATGGTTCGGTACGTAGGTCCCAGTGTTCCTACAAACAGCTTTGGGCACAGATTGGTTTATGGAAGCCTCGGATGTCTATAGAATTGGAAAGTTGACATTTTTATGGACAGAACGCATATTCTCGGGCACACTGACTATCGGATTAGGCGTAGTTACATGGGGTTATCACCATGAACGGTCTTTTGCTTAGCAAGTGGGGCTATGTTGTGTTTGCTTGAAACACTACTCCCAGTTCCTATAGCGATTTAAAAAATGAAAGATATTAACCCATGATTACCAATAAAACCATTGCCATGGGGTATGCGACTCATTTATGTGAGGCATATACCGTGTTCAATTATCTCTTGGTTTGAACCTGTTGTGGTTTCGATCTCACCAGGGTACTTTCATAATGGGATCAAATTACTACGGTTAGAGATCAAATGGAACAGGAGTAGCCTTCGTTCCAATAACAGTTTTAATCTGGGCATTGAATAAGTGGTCAACCGTTGAATCCCTCGGTTGAGGCCGTTTACTTCCGCCACAGTCGCCTTCATGGTCGGCACACGTTATCATTGTCCCCGCTATAGTGTTTTTCTTTCCGGCTTTCGTTGACTCTGACTATGGTATTTTGGTTTCACTATCCAAGTTCGCGTTGTTTCCTACTAAGAAGCAAGAATTTTGCTGTATAAAATCTAATCGTGGAGTTTCTCACCTAAGATAAAATTTTGCAACCAAACTGTATGAACCAGTTTGAATCAAGGGGGGCAACCATGCAGGGTGATGGACGGTCTTCATTCGTATGAGACCTAAATTACTGACTCCCATATTTTACTCATTACCGACAGCAGATCAATGCTTACAAAGTCACTGTGTTTAACCAACGATATACAGCTTCCAGTCCATCTGAGAACGTTTCCTATTCGATATCCAGAATCTTCACTGAATGAAAGCATCGACAACACACGCGTGCACGTGAATTACTTTGACTACTCTCTTCCGGACGGAAAAGAATACAGAGGAAAGATTAGAGATGTTATTACAACTTAAACCAATTTTTCCCCCCAACCCCCTTTTTGTGAATGCACATCCACTTCACTGTTCTTTTGTTTCGTCACCCATCTGTCCACTGAGACGGTAGTGATTCGAATCTGGGTGTACTCGAGTGTTACACACGTCACCGATAGAATATCCTGGCTGGTTCCAGCAGGCCAGAATTACTTTAATGGTATAATGGTCATCCATGGTAATCTATCATGGCTAGAATAACAGTAAACTTTTCTCTCCAGTTTCACCCTCGACACCACCATTAATGAACGTTCTGGATGATATAAAAACTTGCGAACTCAATGGGCGCCAACAGACCCAATGGTACGTGGTACATTGTGCAGCAAAAAATATGAATAAACTGCATCGTGGACTAGGGAACCGCAGAGGTATATGTGAAAATTCATTGTTTACTATTCAAATCTAGTGCAGAAGACGTTTCACTTGTTTTCAATATTGCTATCTCTATCTAGCACGGTATCTTTAAAACTAGAAAGACCGGAATATACACATCCTTTAGAACGACAAAACGGTCATTTAACCCGTTTTTGCATTCGTCGCTCACGGTGTGTGCCGTCTAGTACCCGAAATTTCCTTCCCATTTATATCAGCTACCGAATGAGATAATAAGTATACATCCGCCTTTTATATTGTAAGCAAATGAAAAAAAAGTTTTTTAAGGGTGACAGTTTTACTCTTGAAATTGTGGCATATAGTTACATATAAAATACGCATGAATTATATACATATATATATATATATATAATATATATATATATATATATAATATAAATACGCCTGAATTATACGCCATCCTGGAACATATATGTGGTAATTGGGATGTAGGAATACGAGAATCCGTACTGTAATACGTAGAAATGAATTGGCTCTATCTTGAACTGCGGACACCAACGAAGTACACGGAAGCAAGTGCCAATGTTTATTGAAAGAAATAGAGCATATATTACAGACGGTAATAGACCATATCATTGGTTGAAGGACCGGCGTCCAATCACGTAACCGTTTGCGCAGACGCATCGCATGTGCTGACTCTGATATACTGTTCGTCCGGTGTACCATTAGTCCAGCTTCATGAACGGTGATTGGATGACATGAAGCTGTACCTGGTCGTACATGGAATGCGGTCACTTATGTCTGGATCACCAAAATATAATCTGACCGAAGGTGAATGCACGCATTGGCGGATAGATTGATTGTAGCGTGTAATATCACCTTCGTTTGGCCCCATCCAATATCTGACTTGTAAAAACAATATTCGTAGTATTCTGTTGTATTCTGTGAAGACGTTCGAACCGGCAGTTTTTCCGACGCACAATGTGCATTCGGCCATCCTCAGTCGTTGTCCGCCTCTATCTATATTACCTATACAAAGATAAGTTAACTAATATTTACGTGTTTCATTTGGCTCTCGATCTTAATACCCACAGCAACTCGACTTCCGACATGAATCGCGTAGGTGCAATTTTTCGGCCGCCCAACAATGTCACCCTAACGTGAAATGGTTTCATGCAAATGTCTGACACGTATTGCCAGATGATTCGCACATGCGGAATAAAGGTATGCGAAATGTTTGTTATTCGATCCAGTTGTAGCTGAAGCACTGCAGGTTTTGGTTGCTAAGGCATAGACGAATTTAGTCAACACAATCACCAAAACTCATAACAAAAACTAAGATCTAGGTCAAAAGAAACCTTACAATGTTGTTCAAGCGGTATGGTTCGTGTTAGCATTATGTGATGAGCTTCATCATTCGCCAAGTTCATAAATAATAATAATAGTAGTAGAGACTCTCGACCACTGCAGGCCATGGCAAATGTATCGACTGGTTTCATTTTGCAAAAACCACACCAAATAAAAAGGGCTACGACAAAATTGGTCAGAATGAGCACATGGCGTTGCTGGTGTTAACGAATTTAGTATAGCAAGGACCACACATTTCCAATCCGGCTTCAGTCGCCAGCTGAGGTTTATATATGTATGCGAACTGATTTTATCACCAAAACCGTCGCCGACGATCCGTTCGGTTATCCATGTGTTCTTGTTATGCATCTGGGTAAGTTTTCCCTTCGATGCCAGAAAACTGTAGGCAATCGCAATTGGTTGAAAATAAACAGTGTTATTCAATAGAGTTTACCCACTCGTCTATGGAAGACATAGACTAGATCCATTCATGAAATGAATCACGCCAACATTCGTACCTGCGTATAGTGAACAGCTTATCGATCCATCCTGACTGGATTCACTTCCTTACCAGGGTTATCAAGGTCGGGTAGCACCGGGATCGTTCATTCATGTCTAAAGCTCACTCGATTAGCGATCAAGGTCATAGTGTTTCGAGGTCCTGGTCGTTCCCACTCCACCGAAACTTACAACCTCGCCCGGTAAATCACTCAGAATGCACTTACGCCCACGAAAAAATCACTTTATTCCCATTGGACGGGGATTTGATAGACTCGGTCTAAGCGGTGATGGGTGACAGTTTAAACACCAATCACGTTCTGGGGTTCACACTAGAATGCGATTGGTTGGATTCATTGAAGTAACAACTGATTCACTTAACCTTGAAAAATTGTGATAATAAAACTCTTTGGAGTTCACGGCACCCGACAGATTCGACCAGTTTATACAATCGTTCCTCACACCTAACAATGGAACTGTAGGAGAAATCCCTCGCAATGACAACAAAGAAGATAAGATTTGAAAAAACTGAANAAAGAAAAGAACGTATTACAATTCTGCAGGATTTATCTCCAGGACAACTTCGCTGCATCTCAACATGGTGCATACTGCAGAAAATGCAATGTTTATATAGGGCTTTAGCATGACAAATACATAAACAGACAAAACATGAAACACAAAAGGGGTAGGGGTAAAAGGACCATGTCACTAGAGTAGGGACAGACCGATATAAAGTTATTTTTGTTGACATCGGTTGACACTTCGATTAACAGCAATCGCTTCAGTAAACCTTAGCAATCTTGCGACTCGTGACTTGTAGACAATCTGAAACACTGTCCCTCGGTCGATCTGGTATTGCGTCATCAGCAGATGTCGAGCAATGGCTGAGGACGGGATCTTGTATTTTCGACTGCTTTTTCTATGCGGCAGACTTGATCTTGATTGAGTCATTTGATTTTGGACCTAATTTAGGATGTTCCACCACCCGATTGCGTAGTTGTCGCTCTGTTCTACCCACATAGGTCGTCACGCACCCATATTGGAATTGGTGGGTCAGATTAGAGTTAGGGTATAGAGGCAGACGTTCTTTTACCGGTGGTGCGGGTATCCTGGTTGTCCGGTAGACGATTTGGAGGTCAGCTGCGTAGGAGGTATGAGCGATTGCTGATCACAGTCGTTTATTGAGCAGACGGCTTACGTCATCACCTTCAAATTGAAGGCGCAACGTGACCCGCAATTTCGGAACTGATGCAATTCGCAATTTTCGGCTTCCTATACTTATTCACAAACTCTTCGTAGTAAGCATTTTTGCTAACATCTCCCGAAGGTTTTGCAGTTCTTGTTTAAGTCTGCTTTTTGTGCAGATTCGCGTTGCTCTTTCAAATAATGTCCAAATAAGACCACTTCTATACTGCAGTGGCATAAACCTCTCGAAGTGTCAATATTGGCCTGTCCACCTTTCCTTTCGATAAACGGATCGTGCAATTGTTCCGTTGTCTCTTCTGGTCATGCTAATATCAAGTAAATGAAGTGTTTTGTTGGATTCAGATTCCATTGTGAACTGTATATTTGGCCGTGGTCTGTTAGGTTCATCCATAATTATCGTAGCTTTTTCTAAACTTTCTGTTATAATCAGGGTATCATCGACGTGTCTTTCCTACAGGATGGCATGCTCAAGAATATTAGCTCCTTTTTGTTCCAGATTCGCCATAAACAAGTCTGACAGAACTGGGCTTAGCGGACTGGCCATAGCGACATCATCGATTTGCCTGTATGCGTTTCCTTGAAAAGACAAAGATGCGTCGGTTTCGCAGAGCAGTAATAAACGTTCTGGGACGGATACTAGTAGACTCGGTCGAATTTGTTTCTTATCTACATAATCGCAGATGATTTGCATGACCTCACGAACTGGTACATTAGTGAATAGGGATTGGAAATCGAAGGAAGCCATGTCGATCTTGTTCAGAATGCCCATCAATTCAAAACTGTCCATGACTGTATGCTTTACCATTTATGCTTGATCTATGGGCTGGTAGAACATATTCCAAATGACAGGGCACAAAAAGTACGCACTGCTGACGAGTCCCAAACAGGAGAAAACAACGGTCCAGTGCTCTTTGTCGGTTATCACAAACATTTTCATCGCGTTTGAATGCATTTAACCAGTGGGAAATTAACGATCTCCCAAAGAATGAAACCCACACCCAAGACCAACAAGAGTGCCCGGTGCCTCTGAACAATTGAATGGGCGAATCCGAGCTTGATACTCTAAATATTCCTGACTGGGTCCAAAATCAAATGACTCAATCAAGATCAAGTCTGCCGCATAGAAAAAGCAGTCGAAAATACAAGATCCCGTCCTCAGCCATTGCTCGACATCTGCTGATGACGCAATACCAGATCGACCGAGGGACAGTGTTTCAGATTGTCTACAAGTCACGAGTCGCAAGATTGCTAAGGTTTACTGAAGCGATTGCTGTTAATCGAAGTGTCAACCGATGTCAACAAAAATAACTTTATATCGGTCTGTCCCTACTCTAGTGACATGGTCCTTTTACCCCTACCCCTTTTGTGTTTCATGTTTTGTCTGTTTATGTATTTGTCATGCTAAAGCCCTATATAAACATTGCATTTTCTGCAGTATGCACCATGTTGAGATGCAGCGAAGTTGTCCTGGAGATAAATCCTGCAGAATTGTAATACGTTCTTTTCTTTTGAAACTTTAAAAGAGTCGCGCAAGTGTGGAAATGGAAATGAATCCCAACTGCCACATCTCGATAATTTCTTTGCCCGAGCGAAGCCAACCCGCATGTAAAACACTCATTTACAAGGTGACCGAACATTTTACTTCTTCTGAAATTCAACCTTGACAACCACCAAAGATCATCCCAGCACTCAGACACGAGTAGCACATGCATAGCCCTTTACTTTATCATTAGCTTCACGGCCCTAACCTTTTCTCGACTGGTTCACAGAAAGCATGATGATCATGTGATCAGGCAGACACACGCACCTCTACACAAACCGTAGCTGTAGTGCTGCTCACCTTAATCGATCCTTACGATAGTGGTCAGACAGGCGCACTTGAGAGTGCGTGGGCAGTAGACGTGGCATGCACGCGATGCACAAACGAGCGCGCACAAACACACTCATAATAACACGCTGACAAGATGTCGACGATCCGATCATTGCTCTATACGCTTAGCGCAACTCCGTGGCCTTTGGAGTTGGAGTGTTCCGATATAACAGGTAAGTCGGTCATCGAGACTATATTGTGCTGGATTATCATTATTGCTTACATGAGCATAAATCGTTGATTTCATGTACGCATCGGTCACCTAAGTCTAACTGTGGCGGCGCGAAGCAGATCGGTGTACACTGGTTTTCCCCAACTCATTCCTCATGACCTTATAGCTTTTTGTCAGACGAACACTGCACCCGCAGACATCCATCCAACACCAGCTGGAGCCATTTAGTAATCTACTGAATGGTCAAANAGGCGAACAATTGATTTTATTAATTCATATTCATGCTGTTACATTTTATTTGGGCGGATAAAACCTAGGGATTAGGATGATAACATTGAAATGTGAGTAATCGATCACTATATGTATGTGTTTGTGGTGTGTGTGTGTGTGTCAGTGTGTTGCAAAGCACATGCTCAGATCTGTGCTTCCGGGTTTTTCAATTACGTCACGTTGGTCGTGTGACCCAGTTCTTAGGGATCGGTGCTTTTATGTGAAAATCTTTGCGTATGGGCAGGGAGCAGAGGTGGGTTCGTGAATCTAGGAGAGGACAGCTTAGATTAAACGCTTCCGGGTTCATAGTTCGGGGGTCGATTGTTTGATGCAGATGGTTTCGACTATGGTTAACGTATACATACTAACCACCTTGAATCAGCCAGCATGGATGGTATTCTTTCGTGCGGATAGATAACTGCAGCGTTGTAAGAAAGACGTGCGTCACAAACACATCTGAAAGAGTAAACAATCATTGAAGCGGTCAGCATCCGTAGGTTATCTTCATTCCGTATGGTTATCAGCGGCAAACTTTTGAAAGAGCAGCGTAGGTGCGCGGCGTTGAATACGGCTTTTACTGCTCGATTTAGTCTTCAGATGAGGGCTTCAGCGGCAACCTCCCCCTAAAAGAAAAAACAACGAACAAGTCCTTTCCCGCCCTATCCGAGTGTCGTTTTGGTATCCGTTCCATCATATTTCGATGAATGAAACGGTCTGAGCACGTTGGAGATAAACATGAGTTCATCTTCTTATACTTCTTATCTGCAGATTCTCCGAGCTCTAGACACCAAACATTTCATCAGGTTCGTTTTTAGCTCATTCGGTACAAAACTATGAAATTTCGTGCATTGGTTACTCCATGTTTTCTTATGGTATACACGACGTTGTAGAGACCCATCACGTCTTCTAATGAGGAGTACATCTAGCAAGAGTATTCGATCCTCTGCTTCTACTCCTTTGTAAATTGTATGGTCTTGTGTACGGAATTGAACTTTTATAGCAGTTGATCCAGTTCGTAGTTTGAATTAGCCATGCAAAATATGTCGTCAACAATATTGATGAAGACTATTAACGGTGTCTTTTAATTGGCTATCCTCTTGCATCGCCATGAAAATTTCTGGTAAAGAGGTTCCTAGTGTTGATCTCATTGCTACTCCGTCTTTTTGTCGGTCGATCATTCCGTCGAAAAGAAACTAAACGTTATCTGTACATCTGTCTGCACATGCTTACATTTTCACACCCATCCCTCAGAACTGGATCACACGACCAACGTGACGTAACGGAAAACCCCGGAAGCACAGTTCTGGGAATGTGATATACAACACACACACACACACACACACACCTCTAGTGATCGAGTACTTACACTTCCATGTTATCATTCTAACCCCTAGGTATTATCCTCTCGTATAAAGTGTAAGAGTTATTGAAATTAATTGTTCGCCTGGAGTTGTACTCCAATTGTAAGTCCTTAAGGGATATATGAGAAAGAAGCTTTTTCGCGTTTCCAATTTATAAATAAATTTTCTTAGCAAAGGCGGTTCAGTCGACACCATTCCCGCTCTCCCATTTGAAAAATAATCTCTAAACAAAAATAAGATTTTTATAAGAGCACAAATAGTACAGTACTGGTCGATTGTGATGCACTGAAATATTTTCTCTATGATCAAGTGGAGTTTCATCATATTTATTACTTGTTTTAATGCTTTATGTGTGGACAATAATTTATATCTTGTCTACTGGGATCTAAGCAGTTTCTAGGGTGCATATTTGTCACTTAAACGTGCGTGACCTTGGTTGCTAAGATTAAATGATCTTTACATGAAAAACGCAAACTTTATCAAGTATGAAAACGCAATATATTCTAATAGGAATAAATGAAGAATTATCCCAAATGACTTCATAACAAAGTTGGTGGATTCCATGTCGAAGAGACTCGAAAAAGTCCTAAAGAACAAGGGTAGACCAATCGACTATTAGTGTACATAAACTTTACATCCTAGTTATTATCAATGTTGATTTGTTGTAAATAAAATCATTTCTTTCCCCTTAAATTACCTCTTAACTCGTCATGCTGAAATGAAATGAAATGGGAGTATCCTGTACATTCTGAACTATTCCATCTGCGGAGTATAAGCGAATCAGAAAAATCACGTCTATAAAGACTTACCAAGGCTTGTTTGTTATTATTTGGAAAAAAATTAGTCTAGTATAAATACTGTTGCCTATACGAACACACAAGTGTTTCACAGGGACCTGTTTCTTCAGTTTCAATTGGACCTGTATATATTTGAACTGTTAACCGAGGCTGCACCCCTGACAACTAACTATGTATATATATATGCCTATATTTTTATATCGATATCTATGGATATAAATGTTGAAGGTTGTTAGAGATGCAACGTCCGTTCCTGTTGAACCATGAAATAACCAACCTCTGCATTGACTAGAGTTCACCCTTTGCTACCGAGTTACTGTCATTGGTGATCGCCATATCTTAAGTAGCAATGTCATTGTACATTCATTGTATTCCTTATGGTGCCTCTCTTGTATACTTGGAACCAGATTGCTCCACAGTATTCACTGTTCATTATTTGTTCCATTAGTAAACGCAGGTTATGAATCTCTTGTTATCCAGAATTGGAATTGAGGTTCATTTCTGCGCGTCACTAAACTATTCCACCGCATTCAGGTGCAGTTGGCGTTCAACTCGGCGCAGAGAGCGGCTATTCACTTGTGAACGTTTTATTAACTAAATGTTGTTTGACTTGGGACAGTGATCTTTGATAATGCTTAGTCGAATTCTTAATTCCTCTGAACAGTTGAACGACACTGAGAAATTTCTTTCACTTTTCTGCTGAATATCATCTTTCGGGGTCCATAAAGCAAATACTTGACTTGACTTGACTTGATTTGACTTGCTTTCACAATTCGTCATGTACCCCTGAATGTTACCTTATTACCTTACCTTAGATCGTGACTCAGTGTTTCTCACAGGTCAATGTCTGCAGTATCACCGACTGGTGCATGGACTGCCGGGCCGACGATGCCGATGTAAGGATTGGATGTTTCAAATTTTGTCCACATAATTATTAAATCCAAAGATTGATCCCAGATGTTACACCTAAATGCCAGTAAAATGTAAGGGGTGGTGGTTACCCCAGAGATATGCTAACGATGGTTGTAGTGTTGTGAACCATGGTAACAAAGAAGCATAGTGATCTAAATATTGTTGATGATGACCAACGGCCTCAGCCGTTTGAAGTAAGCTCCGGAAATCTTCACACAGCTATCGACTTTTCATCAACAAGTATGCATATGAGAAAAACAATGATCAATCAAGAACAGTGGTTGTCAAGTTACCACCTCTGGTCTTGAGGTCTGAGGTTCAAACCTTGCTACATTTGCCCAACCTAAGTGATGAGCACAATCGCGGTTGTTCAGTTCAGTAGCACAATTTGCCCACTGCGATCTGATTTAAACCTAGAAACTA